TATAGGGTAACCACAAAGAAATTTAATACACCGATACATCAAAATTTTAAGAAAGGAAAATTGAAAGATTTGGTAAATATTAATGCAACAAAAATGAAATGAATACTCACAAACAAAATGAATTTATCACAGAAAATGATGTGGACCTAAGAAACCAACAGCATCTCTAAAAGCAAACAGCAAAATGACAGCAATCAATTCATACCTATAGATAATTACACTGAACGTAAATGGGTTAAACGCACCAGTCAAGAGACAGAGAAGAATAGAAAAGAAAACAAGTTCCTTCAATATGTGTCTACAAGACACACATCGAAAAGATGGAGACAGCCTAAATGCCCATCAACAGAATAGCTAAGCAAACTTTGGCACATACACACAATGGAATACTGTGTAACGTTGAAGAATCACAATGAATCTGTGAAACACCTCATAATGTGGCCAAACCTGGAGGACATTATGCTGAATGAAATTAGTCAATTACAAACAGACAAATGTATTGGACCAATGTAAAAAGCTAAGAAAAGGTTTTCTTGATAAAAGAAAATCTATGATGGTTACGAGGGAGGGTGGAGGGGAAATTATTCAGAGGTTAGAGGGCAGACATGTCAGCATAGGTGATGTTGTTGTTGTGATTGTTAAGTGCCGTCGAGTAGGCTCCAAGTCATAGCCACCCTGGTATAGGGTTTCTGAGGAGCAGTCGGTGAGCTTGAACCACCAACCTTGCAATCCAGCGCATGAACTCACAGCGCTACACCAGGACGCTGAACTGTGGGCAATGTGATCACTTTTATCATTAAAATACTTTTGATAGCTGTAAACAAGTACAGCTTAGGATATAGGTGACAGGGCAGGCAATATACAAGAGGGAGGTTAGCAGAGGAAAGGTGAAGCTAGTGGGAGACCTAGGGAGGAATGCAATAACTAAGGGGAATACAGGTTAAGTGCTGTTAACTGTTTGTACGTGGAGGAATGCAATCATTGTAATGAAGCAATGTTGAATGTAAAACTGATGATCTGCTCTGTAAACCTTCACCCAATTCACAATAAAAGGTTTTTTGTTTTAAGCTATTATTGTGAATTATGTGATAGTTTACATGGGAGAACATTAACTTAACATTCATCCTATCTTATTTCACTTCATTGCAATGATTACAATTGCCTGCATGCATCATCAAACAACCAAAGGGTATACACCTCGCAAGCCTACCCCCTGGCCGTCAACACACAGCCCCTCTCCCTCGCTGAGTCCAGAGTCCCCAGCCGCTCCATCTCTCCATGTCAACATCTCTACCTCCATCTCTGGCGTCACTGCTTCTCTGGGTAGGGTCCTGCACTCTACTCTTCTCCCTTGATGGTCCCAGGGTCCTCCGCTCCTGGACTGCAAGATCAGCCACTCCCCTCCTTTTGTTACAAAACGTCTATTTTTAAATTTTCAATACTCACAATCAGGCCTGATAGCAAGTTGGACCTTATGAGTACAGCGTTTCTGAAGAGTGTCTGGTGGGTTTGAACTGCTAACCTCTCAGTTAGTAGTCCAGTGTTTACCCTACAGCGCCACACCAAGGCTCTCACGATCTTCCTTGTTGTTGTTAAGTGCTGTCAAGTTGGTTTTGACTCATAGCAACCCTGTACAGGGTTTCTGAGGAGCAGCTGGTGGCTTTGAACTGCCAACCTTGTGGTTCGAAGTCCAGTGCTGATGCTACAGTGCCACATCATCTTACTGCAGTAGAATTATTTGAAAGGGATTCCCAAAAAATAGCTTATTTTCTTGAAAAATCTAAAACATGTATCTTTTTTCTCTATGACTAAGCTAGGAAAGGAGAGACAGCTCTCATCCAAGTGGGTGGAGGGAAGCTTTCTGTTAGACCCAAAGTGCAGGTGGGTTTGTCATTTCTGCAGGAAGACCAGGAGTGGAGCAATGGAGGTGGGTGGGTGCAGAGGAGAACCACCCACTCCTAAGGAGAAACAAAGAAACAGGTGGATGGGCTGAAGCAGATCACGTGTCTCATAAAGGAGGCTCCCTTGCTGGGCTCTACACTTTCTTTAGGAAACTTGACATCTGCAGTCATATGTAACCCTCATGACAGACCATACGACAAGTAAGAGCTGTAGGTTCAGAGGTGGTAGGGACCCACTCACTGTTACACTTCTCGAGAGAGGGGTGGACAATCACCTCAAAATACCTCTTTCACTGGATGCCAGTTTCTCCCAGAACTCTAGGAAGCCCCGGTGTCCAGGATGGTAAGGAGTTTTCACCAACCATGAGTTGACTGATGAAAATTCAGAGTGCTGAGCTGAGGCCCGGAAGGCTCAGCTAAGAGAATACCAGAATCCATTAGTCACACCTGGCATGGGTGAGGGAGACAGGGAAGGAGCAAATGAGTTATTCACTAAACTCACTTCTGGATTCGATTTTGAAGCCCTAAGGGTTCCAAGCCTTTCCCTCCCATGTTGAGAATATGATCTTTCAGGCCTAAAGCGATTTCTAGGGAGCCCAAGGGAAGGAAATCCAAGTCCTTCTGTTCCACGGAGAGTCCAAAACAATGTCTGGAGCTACAAGCTCCACTAGGCCCACACGCCTACTCCTATGATCCGGGGCTGTTTCCTGAGTCACCTAGGTAGGTGGAAGCCCCAAGTCACTTGTTTAACTAACCCTGTGGGCTGCTCAGTCATTAAGACTACTTTGCTTGGAAGAGGGAGGTGAGGGGCTTCCAAAGTCCACAGAGCAGAAGGCACACCCATAGGTAGGGTGTGAGTCTGGAGGAGGTCACAGCCAGCTGGGTGGGGCTGTGTTTTTCAACACAGTGAAGATTCTGAGGCCTGACCAGGGTCTCCCAGTTCCCCCACTCTTCTTGGGGAAACTGCAGAAGTATAAAAAATAATGAGAAGCATAGAAGCCCATGCAATTTGGGGGAAACCCAAGCCAATTTCAGGGCTGGTCTCGGCCTTCCCTGGACTTGACAGCATACTTATTCCAACCTTCCTGTGTCTTCTAGAGTTGCAGGATTCCCACACACTGTGAGGCATAACAATCAACTCAAGTGAAATAGATTATGGAAATTTCAGAGTTTGCCAAAGACTGCAAGGCTAAGTGATGTTCTGTGAAGCTTTTATCGGCTCTCAGTTGTAATGTCTTATCTATTTCTACATTAAAGTTCCGCACAACTAAATGGAGCCTTGTACCACTACCCACTGCTCTGAAAGGGATCCCATCAGAGGGTCCTGAATGGTGTGGGGAAAAAATGTGGAACAAAAACGCAAAATCATTTTAAAAAAAAAAAAGAGCAGGCTTATTGGTCAGATTGGTGGAACTCACTCCCATGGCTCAATTTTCAGCCAAATAAAAATAAGAGATTGGTCTACAAGGGGGCTTCAAAAACTTTGTGGAAATATGGAATTAAAAGATGCTGTAATTTTCCCACAACCTTTTTTCCCACCTCTTGAACAAGTAGTTATTAAGCAGCTGCTGTATAGGAGTCCTGATGTGGCGCTGTGGGTTAATGCGCCAGACTGCAAAGCCGTTTGAACTGCAAGGTCAGTGGTTCAAGCTCACCAGCTGCTCCTTGGAAACCCTATACAGGGTCACTATGAGTCGGAATTGAATCGACAGCACTTAACAACAACAATAACAACATATTCCAATATGGAGTCCGTGTGTGGCACTGTAGGTTAATGCTGAACTGCAAAGTCAGTTTGAACTGCAAGGTTGGCAGTTCAAGCTCACCAGCTGTTTGTTCCTTAGAAATCTTATACAGGGTCGCTACAGGTTGGAACCAACTGGATAGCACTTCACAACAACCTGCTACATTCCAGTATTGTGCTAGGCCGTAGGGATAAACTGTGGCCAACACAATCCCTAACCTCAAAGAATTTGCACAATAAACAATTGCAATATAATAATAGGTGGTTAAGTTTTATCATTATTGTCATTCCTTCGTCTAAAACTGGCATATGTGTTGTGAAGTCTCGCTCTTTTTTCATTGTGAACTGACAGTTTTACATGGAGAACGCTGGCTTCACACCATCATTTCATTGCAGTGATTACAATCTCCTTCGTGCATCATCCTTCAACGGCTCTTCTTCCATGCCCTAGTTATTCTGCAGGACTCACGAACTTTATAAAGATCCCATTTATGTGGGGAACAATAACACTAGGGAGATACGCACACCTGAGGACAGTCAACCACTTGAGATCAAAGGTCAGCATGTGGCCAAGGACACAGTTCTGAAGAAGAAATAGAAACAGGAAACACAGGAAGTGGACAAGCGAAGATACATTGTGGGGACTGCAATCAGTGACATGAAACAAATTGTGTATGAACTGTTGAGTGGAAAATGGATTTGCTCTATAAACATTCACCCAGTTCACAATAAAAAGTTAAAAAAAAAAAAAAAAGCTCTGAAAATACACAATTTTGAGGGGTCTGTTTCTAGAACGTGACATCTTACACAGTGTCCTGTGGCAATTTTTTTAGAGTTTAAATTAGTAGCTGCATAACAAAAGAAAACACATGCTGAAATTGATTTTATAGGGAAGTCCCTTTTTATTAAACTTAACACAGTTACTGTGGTCCTTTCAGAAACTTAATTTTAAAAAAGTTTGTTTCTGCTTATTTAATAAAAAACAAAAAGAAATCCATAATCAAATAGAGTAAACTACGGAAATATCACTTTTGTGATGAGAAAAGAGGCAAAGGGTTTCAACACAAGCCATGAGAATTACACTGGAACCAAGGAACTCATTTCCAGAGGTGTCAATTTCGGTCTGCTGCTGGGACGGACATTTGCAATGATAAGCAGCGAGATTTCCTAATCAAACCTAGCCGGTGAGGGCAGAAGTGGGGCCTGCTAATCTGGAGTAACAGAAAGACCAAAAGCTCTACTGATCTCCTGAGTACGAATCAGTCACTGGATTTTAAAAACACACACACACTGTTCTCTAAGAGTTCTCCATTCCCCCCATGCTTTATCAATGGGGGTGTCAAGGCAACAGGTGTTCACAGGGTGTAGGTATTCTTCACCAGCTGCTCCTTGTCATCCTGGGAGCTCCAGACAGTTTGAAGGACCCGCTCCTGGCTCCTCCGAGCCAACCTGATGAGGCAGACCACCGAGGTTCCCAGGCAGAGAATCAGGATCATCAAAAACAGCCCGGCCAGGACCATCACTGGGGAAAGAGAGCAGGGCTTCAGAGCTAGAAGCGTCCAGGGGGATGTAGGGGCAGCCCCAGCAACCCTTGGGCCAGATACCTCCTGCCCTAAGTCAGAAAGAGGAGCTTCCCTACTTCAGCTCTTCCTACAATCCCAAGGAAAACAGGAGATGCTAGGCTATGGGCACAGAGTGGGTACCTGTGTTTCGTCTTGTTGAACAACAACAATTTAAACTCAGTGTTTCCCTGCCCACTCTCCAGGGCAACCTGTACAGGTAGGTGTCCCAAAACCTAAACCAGATACCTTTGGTGTGTGTGCGAACATCAAACACCAGGTTGTGTGTGCACACGCTCCCCTGCGACACAGGAAAAGGTGACCCTGCTGGTGGCTGGGCTGGCTGAGGTAGCTGCCAGTGGAATGAGGTAAGGGTGGAGGGCAGGGTGGCTTGGGAGCAGCTCTGGGAGCGGGCCCTTGGGTCTGTAATTGCCCAGGGTAATGGAACGGTTGGCCCACTGCTGACTTAGATGCTGTTCTCCCCCAGGCTGGGCTCCAGGGAAGGAATGTGACCTGTTGTAGCAGCTGCCCCCTCTCCAGCTTCACCCCACCAGCCACCAGCCTGACACCCCGCTGCTGAGAGCCCCGGCCTGGCAAATCAGGCTCCAGTTTGGCTCCTCTTCTAGAACAGAGTAGACACACAGGTCAAAAGAGGCCAAACCAGTGTGGCGGGTTCTTTGTGTAAACACTAGCAGGCCAGAAACAAACACAAGACATAGGACACCCTGGCTCCTATGTGTGGCGAAAATGGCATTGCCCACACTGCCCGGGGCAAGGTGAGGGCTCTGCAACTTCCTCCCTTCCTGTCACCAGGACCAGCTCTTTATGCCCACAGCAAAGCTCCCTCACACCCGGGGCAGACACAGCCCCCACAAGCCCCTGGGAGGAGGGCGTCCTCACTCAGTCCTGGCTGCCTGGGCGTAGACTGCTTTGTGAATTACTGACTCAGTCCCAGGACCAGCGAGATAACATCTGGATACACCTGATGGTGGGACAGACGTCCACCACAGAATCCAAGCTGCCAAGTCAGTCTCCTGCCGAAACAGGACTTTCTACTACAATGATGTTTATATGTGAAGGGAAAACACAGCTGAGCAAAGCTTAGATTTGTCAAGACAGTAGCTGGCAGGTGGAGAGCAAGAGGCCACTTACCTTTAGAGCCGCTGGGCAGGATTGGATAGGACTGCTTCCCTGGAAGAGAACACACTCAGGTCAGCTCCCCAGCCTCGCTGACTCCCCACCCCCTAAGGGCCTGAAGGCTTTGCTAGCCTGGGAGAGGTCTAGGGCACACAGGCCCAACAGCCAGGCCCAAAGCCTGCCCCTTCTCCACTAGGGAGCATAGAGTGGGGACAAGTGGGTCCCAATTGCTTTTTTAAATGTTGTAAATATATAGTTATATAAGCAGCAGATGAAACAGGAGAATCAGAAATAGGAAATGGGATGTGTGGCTAACTGATTTCGTGAACAATCGCCTCCTTTACCATGAGATCAGAACCGGATAGTGCCCAGCTACCGTTAACTTAAGGAGCTCTGGTAGCATAGTGGTTACAAATCAGGCTGCCAACCTCAAGGTCAGCAGTTCGAAACTATCAGTTGTTCCGCAGGAGAAAGATGGGGCTTTCTGCTCCCGTAAAGATTTACAGCCTTGGAAACCCTGTATAGGGTCTCTATGAGTTGGAACCGACTCCACGGCACATAACAACAACAACCATAACTTAGTATCTGACTAAGAATTCTAGAAGAATCTTGATCAAAAGGGGAGAGAATGTAGAACAAAATTTCAAAAGCACATCAAACTTTAGAGTTTCTGGAGCTACAGAGACAGGACGAACCCCTGAAACTGTTAATCCTGAGATATCTTAAACCAGAAATACTCCCCAAGTCTTCTTAAACCAAAGAGTTGTTGTTGTTAAGTGCCACTGAGTTGGTATCGACTCACAGCAACCCTATGTACAATAGAACGAAACACAGCCCATCTCAGGCTAATCTCATAACTGTTGCTACACTTGAGTCCATCGTTTCCATCATGGTGCCAATCCATCTCATTTGGGGTCTTCCTCTTTTTTTCCAACCCTCCACTTCACCAAACATGGTATCCTTTTCCAGGGACTGGAAAATATGTCCTGACAATATGTCTAAAGTATGAGAGACGTGTCCGGCCATCCTGGCTTTCAAGGAGCACTCTGGCTGTACTTCTTCCAACACAGATCTGTTTGTTCCTTTGGCAGCCCATGGCACTTTCAATATTCTCCTCTAACACCACAGCTCAAGCGCATGAATTCTTCCTCATCATGTTTAAGTAGTCAATGATCTGGCACTGACAGTGTGGCTCTGCTCTTCAGAAGGTTTTCGGTGACTAAATAATCTGAAGTAGCCCTTCTCTCCTTCTTCCTAGTCTGTCTTCATCTGGAAGCTCAGCTGAAACCTGTCCACCACGGGTGACCCTGCTGGTATTTAAAATACCCATGGCATAGCTTCCAGAATCACAGCAACTCACAAGCCACCACAGTACGACAACTGACAGACGAGTGATGGAACCAAACAGTAGCTTAGTTTAACTAGTAAAGAATGTCTGCTTGAGCGTGGTGTTCTTAAACTACCTCCCCGAGACCAAACTAGCAACAGTGACTTTGAAGGATTAGACAGGAACCCTAGTGGGCAGTGAGACAATGCTCACAGAGGAAGAACGGCTGAGCAAAAGGAAGATGAGCCTGGCCGCAAAACTCCAAGACGCAGCAACGTCACTGAATTGTCCGTATAGAAATGGTGGACTTGGTGTGCATATTCACAGTAACAAATTACTAAAAACAAAATAAAACATTGTTGCTGTTCAACGTCATTGAGTCAGTTCTGCCTCAGAGCGACCATATCCTGGGTTTTCAAGGAGTGGCTGGTGGGTGTCAACTGCCAACCTTGTGGGTTAGCAGTGCAGTGCTGACCTTACAGTACCACACCAGGACTCCAAACAAAACACATACGTACATAAAACACATTATTTGCCAATTCAACATTCTCAGGAGAACAATTTAGATACACCCATTACATCAATCATATCAAGTAACCACTGCCCACGTCACCGTTTTCCATCACCGTAAACAGAAACTTGCTGTTTACTAAACAATGACTCTCCTCCCAGCCACCATAACTTGGTAAGCTCTGGTTTCTGTACACGTGCCTGTTTCTGGGATTTCACATCGGTGAGATTACAGACGATTTGCCTTTGCCTAGCATTCTCACTGAGCACGTGGTGGTCAGGATCCATCCGCACATAGCAGGACTTCATGGCTCTTCATGAAGAGTGGTCTTCCATTGAGTACACACAGCATGTTTTGTTCACCCTTCCGCTGCTGGTGGGCATTTAGGCCGTTTCCAGTGCAGTGAATGACTTAATATGGTCCTGCTACCAAGCGTCTTAAGGAGTTCTGGTAGCATAGTGGTTACAAATCAGGCTGCTAACCTCAGGGTCAGCAGTTCAAAACTACCAGCTGTTCTGCAGGAGAAAGATGAGGCTTTCTGCTGCCGTAAAGATTTGCAGCCTTGAAAACCCTGTACAGGGTCGCAATGAGTCGGAACCAACTCCACGGCACATAACAACAACAACAGGCAAGTGTCTTGGCTAACTCCCAGAAAGTGACTGGGAGGGACTACGCAAATGAGGTGCCTATGGCCCACCAATGGGACTGAGAAGCTTAGCAATAATGAAAATAAGGTGTATGGCAATCAGGTGGGGGCTGTTGTTGTGAAGTGCCATGGAGTCTGTTACAACTCACAGTGACCCTGCACAGGGTTCCAAAGGAGCAGCTGGTGGATTTTAACCACCGATTTTGTGGCTCAAACCAATCTTGTAGCCCAAATCATCCTTGGGGTCCAGGGCTTTATCCCATAGTGCTTTGCAAGACTCCAGGGGCCATGCAAATAAGGTCTGTGGAACTCTTAATGAAGGGACTGGTCTGTTTGGGCATCCTGCTTAAAAAAGCCCATGGAGAACCTCAAGACCATTAAGAAAGAGGAGCTAGGAGTGGGGTGTATTCTTTGTACTCGGGGTCTCTGTGCTGAGAGCCTCCCAGAGCCAAGAGACAGAGACAGAGAGAGTTTTAATGCTGCAGAGAAGAAGAGAAGTAAGTGGAGGCTGAGAAACAGCGGCAGCCAGGGGACCAGCAGGAAGCGGCAGGGTGGGCTTCCTATTCTGTGGACTGAGAATGTTGACGCCCTCACGAGTGGAGTGCTCGGCGGAGCCAGGGCTGAGCACCAGCAGACTGAGACTAGCTGGCAGAGCAGGGTGTCTCTGGGCACTTACTGGCGGAGCTAGGAGCTAGAAGAGATTCCTAACACTTGCCTGAGCAGGTCAGAGCCCAGGCTGAGAGGCCAGAGAGAGCTGGCTGCAGGCAAAGCCGAGAGGAACTGTATCCTGAGGTCCTGATCCTGAACTGTAACTGTCACTTTCCTAATGTTGCTGTTGTTGAGCTGCTGGTGAGGATGACCCCCCCCACCTGGCATGTTCAAACCGACCTGGAGTGCTTATCCTATGGCGCCAAGCCACAACTCCACTTCCCTAATAAAACCCATTAACTATGAGTGCGGTCTGTGAGTTCTGCGTGGTCACCGCGAACAAACGATCAACCCCAGTAGAGAAGCAGAATGCCAGGGACGGGAGGGGCAGGGGGAACAAACAGTAGGTGTCAGAATTGGTAGAGAAAGTTTGGAAGGTGGAGGCATGTCTAACCTCTGTCCATAGGAAACAGATCTGAGGACTGATGCTAGTCCTCTCCCCCCATGTGAAGGGAGAGGTCAGATGACAAATGTTACATCAATCATTGCAGTCCGTGTGTCTGTCTGCATTGATGCATTCAGGTCTTTTGGGCACATACCTAGAGTGGATTGGTGAGTCATGGGGTAGTCCTACTGTAGCGCTGTAGGATAAGCACTTGACTGCCAACCATGAAGTTGACAGTTCAAACCCACCAGTCACTCCTGGAAAACTCTACACAGGGTCACTGTGAGTTGAAATCATGGTGGTTCTACGCTCAACTTTTTGAGGAACTGACAAACTGTTTTCCACCGAGGCTGTACCATTTTGTATCCCATCAGCAATTGCATTTTAACGGCTCACCAAAGCAGCGCTGCATGCACTCCTCCTTAGATCGATGGTTGTTCTTGTTACCATGACAGCCTCCATAGATGAAGTGGTCACAGGCGTTCTTCTCAGCATCAAAATACCAGCGAAGGAAGGCTGCGCGGCACGGCCCGGTGACCGCCTTGGAAGTGCAGTACTCTGGGGGGAAGGCAGTCCGAGGGGTACATACAAGTCAGCATGTGCATACAAGTCAAGGTGCTCCCAGGTAGAAATATGGCTACTGATTGGTAGGGAGGCAGCACTCTGGTAAGGAAATGGGGACCTCCCTGACATGGCCAGCCTGGCCCACCTGACGCTCTCCACCACATTCTCAGGTATCTTCGTTGGAGCCAAGACCACACCGCATGGAGATTGCTCTGTGCCACGCACTGGACTCTATGTGATACACGCAGGGTCTCATCTCTGTGAGCCCTTCACTCCACACACAGGAAATCGGAGGCAGAGGCACTGGGGGATCACCTGCAGCTGTGGAGCTGGTGACACAGAGCTATAGGGTCCATTCCATTGGCCCCCTGAAAGCAAAGATTCCCTGCCTGCATGCTGGTACCCCTCCTACAGCCTGGGCCCCCCAACAATGGGAAAGGTCAGGAAGCCCTGCTCTGAAATGCACTTCATGGAAATCCTGGGGGTATCTCAATTCCCAACTAACTAATGAAACACAGTTTAACCCCCACACAGTCATACTGTTTACCTTCGTAGTTGAAGATGTTGCTGGCTAGGTCATCCTGCCTTCTGAGATCTGAAACACAAAAGTCTGTGTGAGAGACCGGAGCGGACACAGGACACACAGCCAAGCTGGGGCCCAGTCTAGAAGGGCCCACTGAGCGTGGACCCTCTGGAATCTTTGCGCAGGGATCAGGACGTCCCTCCCAGGGCAGCTTGGCCGTCACTGTCCAGTTGTAACTGATCTTAAAGTGCACAAATGCCAGAGGGAGAGTTATCCTCCTGTCCCCTCCGTGGCTACTCTGAGGACTGACTTCAGTCACGTTTCTGGAGCGATAGGGACCAGTTCTGTTACATGCTCTCTGACATGTAACATCTTCAGAAACAGGATAGAAACCCTGTGTCCCCAGGGCTCCAGTGCTGCGAGTTCACAGTGAGTCCAGGCGAAGCAATGGCTGGATTGGGTGATATGGGATTCCTGGTCTGGCCAAGCTGGGCTCTTCCAGGCAGTTCAGAATGGACACGCTCACTCGCCTGGGATGGGATGGCTGGCCGACTTGGGCAGGGTGGGGCCGGTCAGCTCACGCCCCCCTCCCTCCACCTTCTTGACCAGCGGAGCCCCCTGTCTGGGGACCAGCCAGTGGGAAAGCAGAGCTGGCTACCAATAGCATGCTGCTCCTTCCGCACGCCTGGAGCACTCACCCAGGCTCCTGGGGTCGAGTCCTCTAAACAGAAAGGAGGCATGGGCAGTTGCTGCCAGCACTATAGAGCCAGCTGCCACACAAGCCTGGAGGTCGAGCACCCAAGTTGGGGGCGGTGGACAGGGGGACACAGGGAGAGAGACAGCAAAGACGACAGCCAGCAAAGAGGGAGGGAAACAGGTGGGAGGAAGACACAGCACAGTGGCAGAGGCCAGGGGACCCAAAGCCATAGGCACCAGTAAACCCCCGATCCCCCGGCAATTGGAAGCACCAGACTCCCCCAGGCCTCCTGTCTGCTGGACACCGTGAACTCCCCCATGTAAGGACCTCCCGGGCTGGGCTCTATGTGTAACCTAGACCACTAGAACCAGGAGGGTATCCCTTGTACCCAGCAGGGAGCTCCCCCATGACAGAACCTACCACTCGGGACAGAGGACACAGCTCCACTCCTGTTGGTGAGCAGCACATGAACAGCATTCTCTGCAAAGGGACAAGCAGACACAGTGAGACAATGTACCGCCGTGATTACCCGGGGAAGCCAAGCAAACCCACCGGTGGGCCGCATCCCTGAGCAGTTGTTTCCCACGCAAGTTGTTCAGCTTCCTTTTCACTTCTTCTTTGTGTGGGACCTTCAGGGTACGTGCTGGGCCACACTAGCCCACTGGAACTCAGCCCACAGCGAACCGGAGCACAGACTTGCTGAGTGACTACCAAGACGGAATAACCACCAAGGCCACACAACCTGCTAGGGGGGTTCACCCAGCTAGAGACTGGAAGGGTTAAGGGTGGGGTGAAGAGATTGGGTGGTCAAGAAAGCAGGTAGAGCCCAGGTGGGAGGCTCACCCCGATGCCAGTAAACATCCACATCCCAAACCAGCTCGCCCTGCTCTGCCTGCTCCGCTGCAACAACCTTCCTGTCATTTTGCTGAGAGGCTGGCCTATGACAGGTGCAGGCCTGGGACTAAGTGTCCGGTCCCCTGGGAAGTTCTAGTTCTCATTGTAAATAATTAGTGCTCATGCTCAGGATCACCTGACTCTCTACTGAGCCGGCTGCCGGGGAGAGAACATGCTGGTGAGGGGCTCTGGTACAAGGACCACCAGCTCTCTGGGTCTCTTCACAGACGCCTGAGGGAGCCCCGATGGGCAACAACAAACATATGTTTGGGACCTTGCAGCTGGACTGGTCTCTGAGTCATCACCTAGAGAGAGAAGGCCAGCCTGCCTTCCTCGAGCGAGACCCAACCACAGTGATCCCTTATGGGACAACTGTCTTGAAGTCCACAGTCCACTGCTGGTATTCCTATGGTGTCAGCTCTCTTCTCGAAGAGCCAAGGAGTAACGGGAGCGGGCAGAGAAGAGACACTCACAATGCTCCTCATTCTCTCCACTCCTCTGCCCTTGAATCTTAGCTGACAACAGAAAATTAAACGCAGTAAATGAGATGTTTGATAATCACCACTGGGTAAGGTTGCTAGTTACTCCCCTAAGAGGTGAAGAACTGGCCTAGAGCATTCAAAAACAATACTCAGCCACTGCTATCTGAAAGGTCTGCGGTTCAAACCCACCAGCTGCTCCAAGGGAGAAAGATGAGGCTGTCTGTTTTGTAAAGCTATGTTGTGGTTGTTGTTGTTGTTAAGTACCGTGGAGTCGGTTCCAACTTATAGTGACCCAGCACAGGGTTACCGAGGCTGCAAATCTTTACAGGAGCAGAAAGCCTCATCTTTCTTCCACGGAACAGCTGGTAGTTTCGAACTGCCGACCTTGAGGTTAGCAACCCAATTCGTAACCACTACGCTACCAGAGCTCCGTGTGATCTTGGAAACGCAATGGTCTGCTGTGTCCTATGGGGTCACTAAAAACTGGAATCACTGGAAGGCAGGGGTTGGTTTTGGTGACTCTCCAAACACTGGCTGAGCACCTGCCGGGCACAGGGCCTGCATGCTCACGCACCAGGTCTTATAACCTTGGTGCCACAGCCAAGGCCATTGTTGTTTTCCCCTCTTATACACAACACTAGTAATCTAACCTGATGTGTGTCTAGTTCCAGCCAAGAGAGACGATCGCCAGGGAGAGAGGAGAGAGAAGGCCCCTGAGCAGCAGGGGTGTGAGCCCTGGGAGCTGGGTCCCTGGGTGTGGGCTCAGTCTGCCATGATCCCAGGACATTCTGACCCGAGTCATGACGTAGTTCCATTGTGGCAATGCCGAGTCACCAAGAAATCACTGCCATCAAGTGATTCCAACTCATAGTGACCCTTACCATGACAATACATCTTTACGGGAGCAGACAGCCTCATCTTTCTCCCAGAGTGTCTGGTGGGTTTGAACCACTGACCTTGTGACTATCAGAGACAGTGCCACTGAAAACCTTTACAATACAGCCTGGGTGGCCAAACCCTTGGCCTTCTAGAACATTTGGGAGCAGATTCCAGAGGGCTAAAGCCTCCAAGTACCCATCAAGTCTCCTGTTTGGGAGAGAGCTAGTGTACCCTAATGTTTGGACCAGGGTTTTGTTTTCTTAAATTTTATTGTGGTTCAAATACGAGGGGGATTCTAAAATTTCGTGGATAAATGCCATGAAAAGAGAAGGAAGTTTTCCCACAAACTCCTTGAAGCCCACCTTGTATAGATAATAAAAAATTTACCCTTTTAAGCGTTTTCAAGTGTGTGACTAATATTCACCACACATTGCCCCACCCCATGTCAACAGTGTCTACAATCCAGAGAGACCCTGAGTGGGGAGGGACAAGGACAGACTCCAGGAAGTACGTTTTAGTGTGAACCTAACCTGCCACATGACCGGGTGAGCCGGTCATGGTATGTGTGCCAGAGAAAAAAAGCCTCCACGTCTTCTAATCTGGACACCACCCCCCAGATTTGGCCGCGAGGAACCACTGAGGAGTAGAAGACACTAGCATTCCAACACCATCAGTAGAAGCCCCCAACCGTGCACTGTCTTACCTTTGACTCCGGCGCATTTTTCCATACACATCTCCTTGGTTACGTAATTGTTGTTATTCCCTTCACAGCCTCCATACACAAACTGCTGGCAAGACCCGTCCGTGATGTTGTACCACCACCTTGGGAAGGCGGCCCGGCATCGCCCCACCACTTTCGAAACGTGGCAGAAGTCTGCAACACAAAAACAGACACCAGTGGGCTTGGGCAGGCATTCCCAGTAACAGAGAGCAGGTACATTACGCTGGGAGGGGCCCACACTCCCCAGCTCCCTGAGAGAAGCGCCAGGGTGAAGTTCCAACTGGGTCTAAAGCCTGTGCTTCCACCCACACTAAGGAAATATACTTTTCTCATGTAGGATAAACAACAACATCATGGTACCCAATACCAAATGATGTGCCAACTCACTCAACTGGACAGCGATTTGGGGCTATGCTTGTCCCCAGTATGAAAGAAACACAGAGATACATAGCCGCTATGGAAACACATCTTTCAAAGGTGAAACACCAGACTCCGGAGCCCTTTCAATGTGTCACCACATCAGACCAAAGGTCAGAGCTAGAGATAGGAGGTCAAGGAGAAAGGGCACTGCCTGGGGGTCTGTTCTCATGCCCCTCACACCAACGCGCTTTCAATGCTTCTGTCTACTTGTTCCCTCTCACCATTCTGCTCTACCCTAAACCCAGGGCCAATACGTCACACTCAAGTTACTGCAAGAGACTCAGAAGAAGCTTCCCAACTCTACTTACGCCTTGCATGAACATTCCTAACTGCTCCCATGTATCATGGATTTAGGTTTCGGGGTGCCTGCAAATCGGGCCCCACTCCAATACAAGGAAAGCAATGTGATAAAAAGCCTGCCAGACACATTCGCTTGCAAAAATCTGGAGGCTAGCTTTGTTTAAAAGGAAGAGAAAAGCAAGTCCTACAAAGTCTCTTCCCTTGGAGGCATCAGAAGGCTTGAATGCAAAATTAAAAGGCAGTGACATGACCATGTGATTGGCCACCAGCTGCTCCCCTCCCCAAAGTGCCCAACATCCTTCCCGGGATGTGCACCCACTTCACCTCTCATGACATTGTTTGTTACGGGTGCTCCAGGCTCTATGGGGCCGGCATTAGGGTCTAGTACAGAGTGCTCGATACTTGGACGTCCAGTAAAATCAATCCAGGGCTGACGTGGTTATGTTGTTGTTAGGTGCTGTTGAGTTGTTCTGACCCATAGCAACCCTGTGCACAACAGATGAAACCATGTCCAGTCCTATGCCGTCCTCACAATTGGCGTCATATTGTTGCTGCTGCTGTGAGTCCATCTCATTGGGGGGGGGTCTTCCTCTTTTTTACCGACCCTCTACTTTGCCAAACATGATGTGTTTTCCAAGGATTGGCTAGGGGGTTTGAATGTGGACCTTGTGATCAGCAGTCCAGTGCTTATCCTACAGCACCACACCAGGACTCCAGAGGCACTTTTCAAGTTTGTTATTTCAGCAGTCAAAGCAGAGAGGACAGGACTCCTGATTCTCCCATGTCCTCCAAAGTGTTAACAGTGATGAGTGTGAACCAGACGTTCCACAAAACACTGGTGTATGGGCCCCAAACACACACCACACAGCAATACAGCGCAGCAAGGAAAGTGCATCTGGAAGCCGGACATCCTTTCTCATTTGGAAGCAACCATCAATTAACTTGGCAGTTCAGCAGCACCTCACCTGGCTGTGCTAGATGAGTGGGATGTGAGTGCAGAAAAGACAGGAGGTAGGTTAGTGGTGTTGGGAGTGGGCACAGGGATCTGTGGGGACGAGGGGTCATGCATGGTGCTGCTCACACAACTCTGCAGATTTACTAAAAACACTGATACGTGCACTTCGAAGGAGTGATTTGTACGGTACATAAAGGATACTTTAACCAAAGGGCACCTTTTGTCGGTAACACATCAACCAGAACGAGCTGGGTGTGTAATGGGAACAGGCACTTCTGACAATGGGCCAGAGGCCACAGAACACACCCAATCAACAGACCCAGGGTAAGCACAGCAGAACAGACTTCTCTGCTGTGTGATTCCGCCCAGCCCATGAGGCTGACAAACGTCATCAGCCAGACACAGATGAGGAACCACACATCTGGAAGAAGAGCTATGATGCAAAGCCACAGTGAAGTAGGGAGGGGGCCCCCAAAGGCCTTCTCAAATGCTCGATGCCCGGAGAGTACCAACCTCTGCCCCGGTGACCATAATACAAGTGGGGGGAACAGATAAGTCTCTGTAAGCACGGGGCCAGCCACACTGACGGAGTGTACAGAAAAGAGGAGGGTATCTGAAGAGGGATGGCAGATACTGACCTGGTCAGCAGCTGGCCCCACCATTGTGGCTCAGATGTACCACACTGGGTGGGTGGGCGGGGGGCCTGGTTATACAAGGGTGCTGAACAGAACAGACAAAGCACACAGACGAAACATGGAAGCCAGAGTGCCTGGGGATGACTTGACAAGTAGAAAGCTACCTATGTTCCCCAGCACATCAGCAGGTGGTGTGGAGTCATCAGGAAGGGAGGCTGAGGCACCATGCATGCTCACAGGAGACAGCTGGGGTGGGGATGGGGGGGGGGCTTTAAGAACCCAGCCAAGTGATGCTCCCTTCCTGCTGGTCAAGGCCTTGTCTTCACTGCAATGGTCTTTCTTTTGATGTGTGGGGGCCACCAGCGCAAGTTACAGGTCTCTGATGCAGGTGACATACAATCCAAGGATCACACAATAATTTCATTGTTTAACCCTTTCAAGACCAGATTGTTTTCTGCTTTTCTGTGGATGTTGAAATTATGTTTTCAGTTCTGGAAGGCATTTTGAATGAAATGGGGAAAATAACAATTACAAAAATCTTCTTTGAGGTAATACGGATTTTGTTACAATTAATGAAACACATCTGTCCCAGAGTCCTGGTGTGGTGCTATGGGATAAGAACTGGACTGCTAACTGCAAGGTTAGTGGTTCAAACCCACCTTTCATTCCTCAGTAATCCTATACAGGGTTGCTACTAGACGGAACTGACTTGATGGCACTTAACAACCAATGTCCTGAGGGGTCCCCTAGTGTGGGGTTGGGGGGGATGAGGCCATTTCTTCAGATTCAGACAGTTATACCAACTTGACCATGCTTGACAATAACAACAACAAATCTTACGGGAGCAGAATGCCTCATGCTTCTCCCGTGGAGTGGCTAGTAGGTTTGAACTGTCAACTGTGAGGTTAGCAAGTCCTGTGCTTATCCAACACCGTCACAACTAGAGCTCTTTAAGCATACAGGTAGTCTCAGTTTACAATGGGGTTCGATTACGACCACATTTTTTTTTTTTGATAATTGCCTTTTATTATCAGTATATCAAACCAACCTTCATCTTTATGAATTAGAAACATTGCATACAGATGTAGTGCTATGAACCCTCAACCACCCTTCTGGTCTGTAAAAGAACTCACCCTTGTGGTCTAATTTCCAGTCAAGCAACAGATAGGTATCTAGGGGGGACAACACTAGTAAGGTCTGTTCACCATGGAAAAGTCGACCATTCAAGGTCAAAGGGCAACATTTCCCTAAGGAATGGAACCAGGAAGCACAGGGAGTAACTGGGAGAACTGTTGTTCCAAGGAGGGGATTGGCGTCATTGAACTGAAACAAAGAATATGATTTGTTGAATTTAAAACTGATGATCTGCTCTGTAAACGTTAATTCAGTTCACAATAAAGTTTTTTTTAAAAACTAGTTGCATGAAAATCATATTGATATGGTGATACTAGCAGATTATACTACAGCACCTTTGTCATTGTTAAGTGCCATCAAGCTGGTTCTGACTCATAGTGATCCTGTACAGGGTTTCCAAGGAGCAGCTGGTGGGTTTGAACCACCGATCTT